TTGCTTGAGTGTTTAAACTACATTCACTTGCTACTTATACAAAACAATTCTTCCGGGTTTTTTGAACATTTTAAGTATGTTAAAATAAGATTACGGGCCTGGTTTAAACAATCAGAGGCAGGGGAATTTCAGTTGAAACCCAAACTATCTCTCTGCAGCCATAATGCAGGGCTTCAGACAAAACAACAGGACAAGATATATGAATGTCTATCTTTGACAATTACTTGTAAAAATCAGACCTTTCATAGGGAAAGCAATTGTATTTTTAAAGTTATACATTAATTTAAATAGGTTTTAAAATAATTTCTAAGATTATGTATAATCCTATACATTAGAATAACTTCCATAAAAATTTTTAGATAGTGTTTGTTTTACAGTCCATCAGATACATTTGTCTTTTAAATATGTGAAATTTACACGAGGCCAAATTTGTGCACTATATAATGGAAGCCCAAGTGGGAATTTGACCTAGCTCTGTAAGATTTTTCACGTTAAATTTCTCTTTTTTAAAAAGGACAAGTTTAAGAGACCTTATTTTCCCCTTAAAAAAAAAATTTGTACCTGCCTGGTGTGGCTCACTTAGTTGGGCATGGTCCTACAAAGCAAAAGGTTACAGGTTCGATTCCCAGTCACAGCACAAGGCTGGGTTTTGAGTTTAATCCCTGGTCTGGGTACTTATGAGAGGCAACCAAGTGGCAACAGATCAATGCTTCTCTTCCTTCTTTCTCCCTCCCTTTCCCTCTCTAAAAAGAAATCAATAAAATATATATTTTTAAATAGGGCAAGTTTTCCTCTAACAATTTTGTCCTTCTTCAGTTCTCTGCAAATGTGTCTTGGGCTTTATAAACCAGCTGAAATGAATATGGCTTTTTCTACTTCGAGCCTGTTTTCTCTCCTAAGACTGTGAGCCAGCCTGAGGAGCAGTGCTGACTGCCGACGGGGCCAGGTAGATGTGGGGGGCAGGGCACAGGGGCACAGACTACTGCTTCCGCAAAGCTCCCACAGAAACCCTGGTGGGTTGGCTCTAATTGTACACATCAGGGGGAGGGTTTTTTCAACAGCCATTAAAGGTCTTAGGCTCAATCAACTCACCAGACAGCACTTTTAAGGTTAGCTCTGTGGATTAGGAGAGAATAATTCCTGAGGTAATTGGCAATCTGTCCCTTTCCCCTTCCAATTTTCTCATACAACTAACTCCTGGCAGGAGATGGGTAAAATTGGGGAAGCAGACAAACAGGGCCTCTCTGGACCCAACGGTGTCAGGAGTTGTTGCACAATTTCATCTTCACTGACTTGCATACACACACAAAACCCCTACACATTTCAGAGAAAAACTTTAATCAACTGAAACAGCCCCCCCCTGCATTACCCAATCTCAAAGACACCAATGTTAAAAGAACCAGGACAACAAAGACAGCAGCAGCAGCACCGTAGAAACCCATGATTTGTTTACTCATTGTTTCATAAAAGCTACTCGATGAGATACATTATTTCAATCAAAATAATATACTTCTTATGGGAACAGTCAAGGGGTGACAGGTAACATAGACACTTCCTTAACAGGAGAAAACAAAATAAATGGACTTTCAGCAAAGCTGAAACTGCTTTCTTGCTTTGAAAAAGAGGAAAATGTTTAAAGTTTACTTTTACAGAGAAGCTCCTTCGAGAACACTAGTCACCATACAGGAATAATGCCCCAAAAGAAAGCAAGTCACTGGCAGGCCCCATCCCAAAAAGGTGCACTAACATACAGGGTTACAACAGCTTGTTTTAGGTGTCCTTTTTTCAAACGTGTGTTTAAAAGACAAATTTATACTACGTTTTTATTTTTTTAAAAAGGCTGGTTTTTACAAGTGTTAAGATAGGATAAAAACTTGTCTAACTAGTCTTCACAACAGCAGAGCACCAAAACTTCCATACCACAAGCCTTTGGGACTAAAAAGGAAATGAAATAGAGCTCAATGTTCAGTAACTCTCTTCCTGGGCACTCACTCTGCCACCCAGGGCAGCTGGACAGACCAAGCGGAGGAGGGTCAAGAGCACAGCCCTGGCTCTCAGGTTGTGGGAGGCACACATCTGGCTTTATGCGGCCCAGACCCACTGAAGTCTCAAACATGGATCTGGGTCTAGTTAAGACCAGCCTGTTCACCCTCAGGTATCAATGCCACAACCCACACTGGGCTCTGCAGGCAACCCGATCGCAATGGAAGGGGTTCTGGAAAGATGAGAAGAATCTGAAACTAATGAATTCTCTCTTCTCAAACTGCAGTCTCATTGGGTCACTTACTGTCTGTGGGAATAGAGATGACGCTAAATGAGATATCAACTCAAAAGGCCTCTTCAGGGCCCAGAGAAAGAACCAGTTCAGCCTTATACTTTGAATTTTGGCAGTCCACAGTCAACTGAAACTTTTCAAACGAGATGAAGCAGCAATAGAAAAATCATCTAAGGCCAAATCACATCTAACATCAAAAGTCAATGAGTGCTCACAAAACAAAATGATGCTTTTTAAATTTAAAATTCAAGATCAGCATCTGATTGTTCATTCACATAAACTGACAGGGAAACCTTCCATGGAATCCTAGAGTTACACAGTTAAATGTCCTTATGCTATCCTGAACAAGCAGCTATCCACTGGGGAGGGGGGGGGTGTCAAAGAATTCGTAAGATCTAATAACTCTCTTAGAAACCAAATGCATTTCCCAGGCAGTTTTGCCAGAATGCTTAAAAAAGAATGTCACAATCAGGAAGATCAAAAGAAAAAATAAAGGGAAGGAAAAAAGAAAAGAAAATTAAGGTTTGTCTCTTAAAACTCCACAACGGGTTTTACTTTAAGCACAAGAATTAAATTATGGTAAAAGGGAGCTATTTTTACTAAAACAGGGTAGACCAATTTATCAAAAATGCCATTTGGCTGTGTTCATTACATTCAGGAATCTAATTTACACAATAGGCACTTTGGAGTAATCTATTTTAGTCAATAAATACTCGAACTCCTTTAAGTTTTAATCTTATCGGAAAGACATATTTCACATAGTCTTCTTCCTAGTTAAGTGAAAAATGTGAAGAAATTTCATAACGCCGATGAGTCTACGTTATCGTTCTTATGCAGGCAAGGGCAGAAAACAAGCATATACAATTAAAGTTGTCAGACTTCATTTATATATGTTTTAATCCAATCCGCTTGATTTCATACAAGCCGGCATCTGGATTTCATTTGCTTTCTTCCTAAAAGTACTGTAGGTCACAATCACCAGTCCTCCAGGTTAGGAAAGTTCGGCCAAGTTTACCTTCACGCACACCTTCGAGCTGGGAGCAGTAGCCGGCCCCAGGGACGCTGAGGGACCCCCGGAGCGCAAGGCTCCCTGGGCCCTTCCAAGCCGCAGACTGCCCCCAACGCTCCCGGGGCTTCTGGCGCACAAGCCGCTCACCTTCAACTTGGCTCCTGCAACGCACAACATCCACCTGGCAGAGTACCGAAGCTGTCCAGGCGCCGCGAGCGCGGAGCTGGCAGGTTCGGGTGGACTCTGAGGGTGCGCAGCTACTCCGGGTGGGAGGTGGATGGCAAGAACGCGCCCCCTGGGTACCGCGGCAACTTGGGCGCCTGATGGGGAGTCGCGGCATGATCTCGCCGCGGCGTCCTGGACCCGGAGCGCAGACCAGGACACCGCACACCACAGTCCGGCGGGTCCCCCGGGGCTTTGCTTTCGAAAACCCGACCCGAAAAGACATTTCAGAGCCTACCCGCTGCGAGCTGCATCGCACCGCGGACCCAGCTGGAAGGGCAGGGCCGGGGCGGAGAGGGCCAGAGAACAGTGGGGGAGTTAGTTACCAGGGCCGCGATAGACTCTGGGCGCCGAGCAAGGGCCACCGGGACAGGCGGCAGGGAGGAGGCGACTACCGCACCGGCAGACGGCGCGCCGGGACTCCGCGCCGGGCCTGCGCTACGAAAAAGTTGCAGACCCCCGCCCGTGCCCGCAGCGGTGACCGCCAGGCGCTCCCGGACTCTCTGACACACGGGCTCCGCACGCGGGGCGACCCCGCCACCCCTCGCAAGTTTCCCCAAAGCGCCCCTACCCGGCTCCCCGGCCGAAGAGTCGGTCCGCGCTACTTTTACAGGCACACAAAAGAGCGGGGAGGCTGCGGGGTCTGCCGGTGGACCCCGGCGTCCGCCCGGGCATAAACAAACCCCGGGGTCCGCGCTACGAGCCCAATGCCTAATTCGGAGCGCCAGCGGGGCCCGCCCGCTGACAGCCGACGGCAGCAGCCGGGACCCCGGCTGGCCCGGGCCGTGGAGCAATGACGCCCGCACGCCGGGCCACCCGCCCGCCTGGCCGGAGCCGGGCCGCGCCGCCGCCGCCGCCGCCGGTGGCCGCTCTGACCCTCCCCCGAGCCGGCGGCACCACAGCGCCACCAGCCCCAGCTCCGCCGCGCCGGCGGCAGTGGCGGCGGCGGCTCCTCCTGGAGAAGCAAGCGCTTCACCCCCCACAGCAACTCCCCACAAACTTTCCCCAGGAATACGGCGGGCTGGGGGCGCGGGGCGTGCGGCCGGGCGCCGCCGACGGGCCGCAGCCCCCTCCCGGCGCGGCGCGGCGCGGCCGCCCCCCGCCCGCTCGCCGCTCGCGTGCGCACCCCGCGGGCCGCCGGGGCCGCCCCCTCCCCGGTCCCGCGGCGGCCGCGGTGGCGGCGGCGCAGGGCCGGGGGGGCGCCTGGGGTGGGGGCCGACCCCGGGGGCAGCGGTGGCGGCGGCGGCTCCCGGCGCCATCTTGGGCTGATCGATGAATTGAACAAAGAGGATCAATTTCTGATCAAGCGAGTTATCAATGGGGGCCGGGGAGAGAGAGGGACTTGTCCCCGACTCGGCCCGGCTTTCCCCGGCACCCCCCTCCTCCCCGCCGCCGCGGCCCCCCGGCGGCCGGGCAGCCCGGGGCCCCGGGGGAGGCCGCGACCGCCCGCAGCCCCCACCCCCGGGCGAGAGGCCGAGCGCAGAGAAGCCTGACCTGCAGCTGCTGTAAATCAAAGCGCTTCCAATATTGAAACATCGATCCCACATTGGCCGCCATCTTGAGACATATTGAGACGGAGTGAGAGGCTGATAGAGAGGGGGCTGGAGTTCAGGAGCCGCCAGGAGGCAGCAGGCGGGCGGCGCCAAAACCCGGCCTGGAGCCGGCCGCCGCCGCCGCCACCGAGGACGCGGACTCCTCCTCACGCCGCCGCCACAGCCATGGCGAGCCCGAGCCGGAGCCGGAGTCAGAGCCCAAGGGCGCGGCGGCCGCCGCCCGGCCTGGCGCGCGCGGCCGCTACCCCCTCCCCCCGCGTCCCACACCTCGCCCGCGACCCCCGCCCCTCTCGGGCCCCCAGCCCCAGCGGGCGCTGCCGCGGGCCCGGCCCCGAGGGGGCGCTGAAGGGCAGCGGGAGGGGTGTTCCGAGTCGCGGCTAGAGGCTCGGGGCCCGGCTCACCTGGACTGTGTATTGGGCCCCCGGGGGTCGCGGTCGCTGTCAGAGGACCGCCCCTTCAATGCCTTAGGTTGGGGGCTGCGGGCAAGGCAACAGCGGCGCTTTCGCTCGCCCTCCAGCTAGACGCCGAGCGCGCAGAGCTGCCGCGACCACCTGCCCGAGTCCCCACTCCGCGCCGCTGGGGCCCACCGTGGCTGGCGTGTGGAGGGAGACCTCAGCGGGACTCAAAGACTGAGCCGGCTAGGGACAGCGTTTCATGCTGGGGGCACTGGAGTTGAGGGAAAGCACCCCTGACCCTCCTGTAGCCGCACAAGTTAATAGCCCGCACAGTGGCAGCAGGGGCAATGCGGCCCCCTCACCGCAACTGAAGTGGCCAGCGCGCCTCACGGCACCGCACAGCACAGCACCGCACCGCAAACGCTGGTGGCCCGCGCGCCTGAGCTACGCCAGTTTAGGCCACAACAGGAAAAGTATTGAAGCCCAGCTCCGTATTCCCCCCGCACCACTTCAGCGGAATAGCCCTGAAACTTCCTGTAGTTTAGACACCTCGGTTTTCATTCCTTTGGGTGCAGAGACTTGAAAAGTGTGGGAGCACTTATAACAGAAAGCATAGTCCTTAGTCTACAGAAACGCTGAAATTTAAACCAAAAAGTCAACTCTCTCGATTTTTTTCTTCGCAGAAACCAGGCAAAACACACGTTTTATGATCGTCGTCATCTTTAATTGATTATATACACGTGTGAGTTTTTAGAGTTTCCAGTAGGAATACTGTACTTTTACTCCCGCACTTCATTTAAAGTGTAATTAGTTAAAACAAATCCCCAAACTCCTTAATCTTGAAATTTATATGTAAATAAAATATGTGTGGAATACAAAATAAAACATGAGATATAATTGCTGTTCAACTGAGCTCGAAAGTTTGGCGCTGATCATTGGAGCGAATTCAGTGTTTTTGAATGAAAGTACTGGAAATGAAAGTGCCCAGGGTTTAGAGAACACAGGAGCCCCCTGGTCTCGCACTGCTGTCCAGGAGCTTCACTTGAGTCAACATGAGATTCCTGACGTCTGGAGAGGGGGTTCTCCTGGCATCCCCATCCTTGCGACCTCCACCAGCAGAAACGGCAAGAATCAGGTAGGTGGGTAGGAGCACGCGGGCGCCTAGGGGGCGCGTGGGAGCCTGGGCCCCTCGTGCCTTGATGCCGCGACTTGCAGAGTAAGCCCGGACCTCGGATGCCGAGGGCCGACTGGGTGTGGGGCGACGGAGCCCGCAAGCTGTCGGCCGGCGGCCGCGCTGCAAGCTGACACAGCACCGCCCGGTAGAGGGCAGCGGCGCCCTGACACCCGCGTCCTCCGGTCCCCGCGCACGTGCCCACCGGCGCGCTCCGCGCCTGGCCACGCCCTGTCCCAGCCAGGCCCCTGGCGGGAAACGGCATTGCTACCTCTGGCGATTCCAGGCCCGAAGAAATGCTGCATCTAACGATTCCTCCCCTGTCCCACACTTGCGGTTACGGATGCCCTCCCCTCCTATTTGTGTGGTGGCAGGCAGATGAGACCTCAGGGTTGCCTTAATGATGGCTAGACAAATAAAATGTGCAGGGACTTATTAAAAAAAAATTCCTCCCTGGGGATGCCTCAAGGAAGGATCAGGGAAATGGTTTGGATTTGGTGCAGATGTTCTCAATCTAATTATCGTGTCAATCCCCTGGGTTTGAACCAAAAACAAAATAAAGTGAAATATATATGACCTGTGTAATACTCCAGAAGTACATCTGGTTGGAATTCAAGGTTCCGAATAATCTGGTGCGATATTTTAGAAATAAATTTGATGAGTATTAAATACCCTTGGTACATTTCTGGTTATATTTACATCATTTACATGCTACCTTGACTTAGAAAAACATTACACTGAATAGCTCAGAGGTTAAGCTCTAAATAAAATTTAGATACCTTGTACCGAAGTTTTGGGTTATACAAGGCTTCTTAGTCTCTGTGGGGTGGAGGCAGGGAAGTTAGATAACTTTGCCAGCACCATGAAATGTTACCTCTTTAAAATGGCATCCAGATAAACCACTGATCTGAAATTATCTTAACTGAGTGAATTAATCAACAGGGACCTGTTGATTAAAATACATTTTATTTTTCTTGAGCATAGACAGAATAAGAACAAATTATATCTGTTTCTAGACGCTATTTTCTTTTCCTTCTTTCTCCCGCCTCAGACTGACTTTGTTTCACCACTGTAGAAGGTCCGGAAGACCCACTGCCATCCAGATATAGCGAGTCAACAAAGTCGTATACTGTATAAAATACTCAGAAAATGGAAAGGTCGTAAGACATAGCTCTCTATCAGCACCTACACAGGCGATCGGATAATAGCTATAATCGTACAGAACAAAGTGTGAGCGTGAGAAACAGGCAGGTTAGCAAGAGCGTTGGTCTAATATCAAGAAGCATCTTGATTCAAAATCAATGTTAGAATGAAGCACAGGAAAAACAATCCAGAGGCATTCTTTTCACCTTTGATGTTCATGCTCTCCCTTTAGGAAAAGAAAACTCCCAGTCCCCAAGTATGTGACTAAAGTCCTCAGCTTCTAAAGATCAAATTCCAAGTAATCGCATGGGGAGGACTAACCAAAATGATATTTGTTCCTGCCACCTTTAAATGAAATACAACTTAGCACCAAATAAGGCTACTAAATAGCTACTATAGGATCCCAGGATTCCTACATTTCCTTTCTGACCCGTTTTATTTTGCCTAAGAAAAGTTGAGTGGCCATACTGGGATGTGATAAGACTGATGCATGTAACTTACAGAAAGTTGTAAGGCATTCTTCCAAGTTCACACATTCTTACCGTCCTGGCATTTGGTGGATGCTCCTGTCTCCCAACATCTACATAGAGTTGATTAACTCTATTAAGGTGAAAATTCTCTAAAATAACATATGAGTTGATTATTACAAAATTGGTCATCCTTTGGTAGCACTAAGAAAAGAAAGTACATTACCTTGTTTTCTAAAGATTCTAATTTAGTGATTATTCTGATACACTTCACCCAATTCCTTGAAGGAATTAACCATCAAGAATTTCTTCCAAGCTGAAAAATCTCTTACAACATAGGGCATGATAAAAAAAAAAAAAGAAAGAAAATCCTTCACAAAAGAGTACGTTCTGAGATTATATTTATAATGGAGAGGTTGCAAAATAATCTGGAAAAAGTTGGAGAATAATCTGGAGTGATTGAGCCCAATCCCAGAACAGTGAAAAAAGTCATCAGTCTGAATCCTACATAGTATGCTTAAAAAGAAAACTTAAAAGATTCATTCTATAACCTTAATGCACTTTCTGAATATTTTTGTATTCAAATTAGACTGGTTTTGAATATTTTTCAGCATGAAAAGTTTCAGATAAACAGAGACAATAGATAATGCTGAACACAATCCGTTCACAAATAAACATAAAGGCACAGCTACTTTTTCATGCGTGGTAAAAATACATCATACTCCCAACAAGTCATACAGGAATCTCAATTTTGCAAGTATAGAAGTTGAAAATTATATCAAGGTGTTAATTCAAGTTGACTGGATTTGTACGCATTTTAAATTTAGGAATAGCTAAGGCCAGACAGAAGTTTTGACACACTTTAAATCTGAAAAGGTCTTTTCCTTAAATCTAAGGATTGTGAGCCCTGATCCGTGTGGCTCAGTTGGTTGAGCATTGTGCTGCAAACCTAAAGGACTGGAGTCCCTGGTCAGGACTCAAGCCTGAGTTGCAGGCCAGGTTCCTGGTTGGGGTGTGTGAGAGAGGCAACCAGTTGATGATTCTCTCACACATGGATGTTTCTCTCCCTCTCTTTCTCTCTCCTTACCCCTCCCTCTGAAAATGAATAAATAAAACCCTTAAAAATTATGAATAACAGAGGGAAATAATGCTCTCTTCCTTTAGTCTTTGGCAACTGCCTTCCAGAACAACTTGGCATAGACTACTGGAATAAATAAAAAGAAGATTCCAGTCTCTCTGTCTCTCTGTCTCCCTCCTTCTCTCTCTGTCTCTCTCTCAAGCAAACCAAACTACTTTTATTTGTTTTGTGTTTTAAATAATACTTTATGTTAATTATTTCTAAGTACACTATTTCCTGTACTATATAAATACCAACCAAATAAAAGTACACATTTCGCTACATGTAATTACATGCATAGTACATAATTCACCTCTATACGCCAAATGTATGTGTAGTTATATAATTGTACCAAGAACCTGCCAAACTTGTAAGAACAAACTATAATGATTTCTGAACAGTAGACTCTCCTATTCACCACCTTCTCAGCCTCTGCCTGGTGACAGCATCTCTCAGTCTCTAAGACCCTTTTTGGAATCTTCAAAGACTTAGTTTCAGGCCCACCCTTTAATTCTGCCTTGCACTTCTGGACGGCATATGTCGATGCCACTGGCTCGCTCTTGCTGTCTTTCTGCACCTCTAATGATTATGTTCTGTTCCCCTTCCCTTGTCTGAAGCAAGGAAACTCGCAGCTCTGTCTTTCGGATGGAGGTGGCTCACACTTGGAAAATCCATCTAGCCTAACGGACTCAGCCACTCTAACTGCTTTGGGACTTTCAAGCCCCCGAGTGGGACCTGAGGCTCCTCATAACCCCACAGGTTCTCCAACCCCACTGCACCAGCCGCGCACACCCCATCCCAGTCTCTTTTAAGGAACTTATAGTCTAATATCAATTTTATTGAAATTTAGAGTCTATTGGATAGAGTATCACATCTCATTTTCCCCTTTTTATCTCCTCCTTATCATAA